AAGCGCTAAATTTAAACAAACAAATTACGCATTCTATAAAAAATTTCAAAAGCCAAATAACACTGAATTTAAAATTCAAAACAAACAAATCAAAAGAGCCCACCAGATTTAATTTCAGGAATTAAAATTATTAACATCAGGGATGGTCCATCATTATTGCACGTGCTGAAACCAAAATAACGTCTGCGTGACATAGTTTACACAACAATATATAGGGTGTTCTATTAAAAATAAATAATTCGGCATCAACGTGTGGTGTAGGTAATCGGAAGTGTCACCGACATGAAAATATTTTATATGAATTCCTCTTATGGAACACATTGTATTAAACCGAATTTTGTTGCATAGAAGTGGCATGATTGTCACGTAACCGCCACTAATGGCTGGAAATTGTTTTCTTCCAATCGATGAAATTAGAAACATTTTCAATGCAAGGAGTTTCTCTCACGAACGAGCTACCCCAACACGTAACGTAATCCTCTCCTTTAAACTCCCCCGACGCCGTTAACAATAACGTTGCTTTTCTAATGGTAACCTCATTCCAAATGCGCCAAGCATAAGAATTAATACTAAGGGAAGAGGTAAATGACAACACAAATTTACATACAATTACTTATAAATTCTAAAGCGAGTCGACCTCGCATGTAAATAAATTTTATCTGTTAGAATTCGTTGCATAAACTCTAAAGAAAATTTAAATCCAATCCCCGACATAAATTTCCATTCCCTTTCTTATTTAAAACTCGACAATAAGTCTAGGCCGTTGTTCGTATATTAAAACATATACAAATAAGGGCGAGGAAAATATTAAAAATAAATTTAATCTTAATTTAAATCGGATCGGCACGAATGAGATTTAAATCAGATTTTGTGAGGTCCGTCCCTTACAGTCTTTCGTGGGGAGGAAATAAAAATAAATTACGCTCCTGTAAATCCCGACGAATAAATATAAATGCGAACGGGAAAAGATACGACCCTTCAAGACACAAGAATGAAATGATAATAAGCCTCATGTACTGTTCACTTTTTAACAAGCGCTTTTGAGAAAATTACCTCCAGGATTTCTTGTTTTTTACTCTATCTCTCAATATTGCGTGCATTTAGGTTTAATCGTTGATGCGGACTTTGAACTTCGTCATTAGCCAGTTCAGATACGAACTAATCCTAGCATTCCAGAAGTCTGAAATTGCTACTCTTTTTTGTTGCGAAATTGCTTATTCATCTCGCGATTCTATTGCAACGGTGAACAGAAAAAGATTCGTCTCAGTTCATTTTATCGAAAAGCTGTAGCTCGAGGGTTGCGATGCAATACAAAAATTGCCGTCAATACAACAAAACCATTTTGTAGGTAGGTTCAGTCCATATTTCCGGAATCTAATTTTATTAGACGAGTTGCTCAAAAGTGACAGCTCTTCAGGTTTAATGCCTTAGGTATTAAGTTACGATATCCCTTAATAGTCCAGGCTATAATAATATTTTTTAACAAAAAAAATTAGTTACCGGTTCAAACCGGGTTTTTTATGCTGGTGAAATTATTAGAAATTGGGGAAAAATAATTAAAACAGCTGAATTTTTCCGCGGGTGAAATCACGGGGGTTGAAAGGGGTGGAAACTGGTATTTTGCAATTTGTGGCAAAACTATTAATCTTAGGGGAAAATGTTCAATATAAAGTTATAGAGAATAAAAAAATGAACAACTTTTATATCTGCACTATTTACACATAACCTCCAATTTCCCTAGAAAAACCGGAAAAATTTTTTTTTTCGATTTTTATTCTTATTTTTACTAAAAAAAGTCGTAGGAGTTTGAAATTTGGAGTAAAGATGTTGTGTGATAAAAGAGGAGACAATTTTTGTGGGCCCGTAAAGTTGAACCGTTTCCGAGATCTCACGATTACTGAAAAAAACCACCTCTTTTTCAAGGGGATGAAAAATCTATTTTTTTTTCATCGTACAAAGGTGCGCGGGGTAGCAAACTTTTCGGGAAGACTTGTATTTTAATAAACAAAAATAAAAAAATATTATTCCTATAGTAAAAATTCCAGAAAATCGCCAAAAACTGGAAAACAGATTTAAGATATACACGGTTTTTGACTAATGATCAATCAACGTGTTGGATGTTAATAAAGATTTTTTCGAAATATGTCTTCTTGCTTCTCTTTAATGTTTGCTTAAATATTCTCTTTTGTTATCTTATGTTCAACTGTTTTAGTTAAAACATCTTTATTATTTCTTTTTTCTGCATTTTTACCGCAATAAAAGCAATTCGAAATAAAATCGAATTATTATTGTTTCCCGATTTCTGAACAATTTGTTTTTGTTCACTGGCTCTTCTTCCTGCCTGTTTTATAGCTGATGCAATTGCGTTGGGTCTGTTGATAAACTTGCAAAATCTGCAATAGAGAACGTTAGTTTTACCGGCCAAAGCAAATGATTTGAGATGTAAAACCTGGAATAAACTTCGTGAGGATTTTATTCATAATTCTTGTAAATTAACGCTCAACAGGCCCAGCTTAATTCCATCAGCTGCAAAACAGGCAGGAAGAAGGGTTAGTGAACAAAAACAAATTGTTCAGGAAGCAAAAGAATTCGATTTTACTTCGAATTGCTGTTATTGCGGTAAAAATGCAGAAAAAAGAAACAATAAAGATGTTTTAATTAAGGCAGTTGGACACTAGGAAACAAAAAAAAATATTTTAGCAACATTAAAGAGGAGAGAGAAGACAGATTTCAAAAACTTTTTATTAGCGCGGATCCGATACGTTAATTTAGTTGCAAAAAAAGCTATTACCTACTATCTCAAAAAGGTATATCTTAAAACTGTTCCCCCCGTTTTTGCCGCTTTCCTTAAGAAAATTTTGCTACACCGCACATATCTCTGTACGATGAAAAAAAAATAGATTTTTCATCCCCTTGAAAAAGAGGTGGTTTTTTTTCAGAAACCATGAGATATTGGAAACGGTTCAACTTTACGAGTCCAAAAAATTATCTCCTTTGTTTTTTCGTAAAAATAAGAATAAAAATCGAAAAAAAAGGTTTTTCCGTTTTTTCTAGGGAAATTGGAGGTTATGTGTTAGTGCAGATACAAAAGTTGTTCATTTTTATATTCTCTATAACTTTTACTTTAAACATTTTCATCTAAAATTAATAGTTTTGCCACAATTTGCAAAAGACCACTTTCCACCCCTTTCAACCCCCGGGATTTCACCCGCGAAAAAATTCGGCTGTTTTATCCGTTCGTTCATTCGGACCCACTTCTGCGGTTTTGAACTATTTTTAGGGGAATTTGTGCATAACTTTTACTTGCAACGACTAATTTGTCTCAGATTTTGCATACGCATGCCTCTACTGGTGCCAAGTAAAAGGGGGGGGGGGGGCGTTCTACACTTCAAAGGAATTGGTTTCTACAAACCCCAACTTTCCTCCGTGATTTTTTTTTGAGTGCCGAGGGGTGTTAGAAATTGCTTTTATTTGGATTTCTAGTTAAAGGAACCGCTCTTCTCCCTCACGCTTTACATGGGGAGGATTGGTTTTATCCTTCATGGTACTGTAATGAAAGGTCTAAACGGAATTTATTATTCCTAACCACATTCCTCTTCGACCTCTTATCGTGATCGGGCATAATTCCTCATATCTCAAGAGAGGAGGGTACTCTCAAAGGGCGGTTGGAACGTCTACACCAGAGATATTTACTGGCGATGTGAAAATGTGAATCTCTCGAAAATGGAGTATCGCAGGAAGGTTATTGTTGCCTTTCTGGTGTCTTATTAGTGTTTTCTTACTACGTTTTAGCGTTTCTTAGTGTCCCATTCAACTTTTTCAGCTCTTTAGGGCCCTATGCTTCAATTTTTACTGCAAATGAGGCACGATGGAGTTCACGTAAAACCTAAGAACACAAACATCTGCTATGTCCCCAAAGTACTCTATTGACTTAACAAGGGGAAAGCAATTCTGAGGAATGAAATTAGCGACAGTGTCTTAACATGTGACAATCAAAAATGGAAGGCAATGTGACAAAGTTAACTTTTATGGCACATAACGATTTTATTATAATTACCTAACGTATAAAATCTCTTTTTTCTGTTTCTCTTTTAATGACTTTCGTGTTCTTTATGTGCGGATACTGTAAATCAATATATCTTCCAATTCTTAGCAAATTTTGTTTATTAGATAGGTAAAGAAGTTTTTTTTTGTTACTGTGGGAATTGTTTATGATCGATCAAATGCACCCAAAATGTTTCACCTCAATTATATTACACCGAATAATTACCTCATTTCCGTTTCACGACGCCAATTTGACTAATAACTAGAATACATCTAAACGAAATGAAAATCAAATTACGAAATGCGAAAATGATTCGAACATTGAATTAGTTATTCGAGGGATTTTCAAGTAGCTTATTTTACAACCAACCAATTGAAATATGGAGAGCGCTCATAAATAATTTTCGAACGGGAAATGTTTAATAAGCGCAATTAAAACAGTTTTGACTACTCTCGGGAGGGAAAGTTTGCGCAGTTTGGTCTGTTTTAAAAATGAGAGGGAACGTATGCCTTTGAAGTTGCATGTTGAAAAGCACTTTTCTAGTTCAAAGGGCGGAACAAACACTATTTAAAATCCAATCAAAAGTTCGAAACGTTGCGGACTGACTATTTATTGTGAATTATGGCAATGAGTTGCGGGAAATTTGAATTCTTCAAGCGCGCTCGTGATTGGGGAGACGCAAGATTATCGCTTTCGTTTTTACCGGTTGACATTTGGTACTACTGATCGAAGTTTGGTGAGGTGAAGGGTAGAGAATATGCATCTTTGGTCGTTCGCCCCTAGATTTCAATATACTTAATGGAAATGTTTTCCGTCTTAAGGGGGAGGTGGATAAACACTAAAACCTTAAACACCTCTAGTCCGAGCTTTGGGTAGGTGTATGCGAAGCGTACCGAAAACATCTACAAGTTAGCGTAACTTGGGAGATAACACACCCCCTCAGCCAGCGCAAACATGGTATCAAATATAATTTATAAAGAATTATTCCTCAATTATCACATCATTATTTATACTTGAATACTATTTTAATTATGGCACGAAATTCACTGGTTTCTTGATTCTAAGATGCAGGTGCATTAGTGGACCAAATGGCATTTGTATATAAGTAGAAATCACAACTCCGCACGACCTTCGCGCCAATCTTCGTAGATCATGCTCGCACCTTTCTCCCCAATCATCATCGTCGGCCCGTTCGTATTGCAGCTGACCAATTTCGGCATGATCGACGCGTCGATCACGCGTATCCCTCGCATTCCGTGAATTCGCAATCTCGGATCGACGACGGCGTCGGGGTCGCTCTTCGGTCCCATCTTGCACGTCCCGACCAAGTGGTAGACTGTGCTCGCAATGTTTCGAAACGCGCACTTCCAGTAATCGTCGCTGTCGGGTGCATGCTGTCGGCAGTTTTTGAAAGGGAAGTGCAACCGCTCAGGGTTGTACCTAGAAAACGCCCTGGTTGCGGTGAGGTTCTGGAAAAATCGCACGCCGTCCAAGAGAGCTTGGAGGTCTTCGCCTTCGGGATCGCTGAGGTAGTTGGTGAATATCTTCGGAGTGTCGTACGGGTCGGCGCTGCGTAATAAAATTTGACCAACGGATTTTGGATGCGTTAGCGTTGGTATTAGAAAGATGCCGTGCGATTTCTCTATACTTTCGTTTTGTACCGCTCGAACTTCTTCTGGTAGTTTATATAAGGTTTGAACCGCTTTTAGGCCGCCATACACGTCGTTCTTGTACATTGGGATGTAATAGAGCTGCACGGAGGGATCTTCAGTGTTACCCATGGGATCGGCGAAGAACATGAAATTTTCAATTGTTGTCATACTAAGTGGCCCAGTTCTGTGTCTAAGATACTGGTACCAGTCGTCTATTACGTCTTCGGCAGTTTTTGGCACAAACGCATTGTCGACAACGTTGTACATTACTCCAGCAAACAGCAGGTGGTCTTGTAGGTTTTGGCCTACTTTCAAATTTTTAACGAGTGGCACGCCGAGCTCTTTTAGATGATCTTCTGGGCCAATCCCGGAGTTCATGAGGATTTGGGGCGAGTTGACGCTTCCGGCTGAAAGCACCACCTCTTTCGTCGCCTTAATTTTGATAATTCTACCGTTGGTGCGCACTTCGACGCCTGTTACTGATAGGTCTTCACCGATGGTAACCTTACCGACCTGAGCCTTAAGCGCTATGTACAGGTTTCTGCGCTCTTTTGCCTTAGCCAAGAACGCTTTGGCCGCACTATATCTGGTACCCTTCCAGATATTTGTATAAAAGTCGAAATACCCAATCGGCTTCTCTTCCTTATATGCACCGTACCCTAGCTCGTTGTACGCTTCAAGCAGTCCCTTGCGAATCGGCTGCGGACTGATCTGTTGCACCAATTTCAGGTCTCCTCCCTTACCGAAGCGTTCATCGTCGACGCCTTGCAGATCCTCAATTCGTCTGAAGTGTTCCAGGACCGAGTCAAAATCCCAACCGACGTTCCCGTCGTTGGCCCAGGTGTCGTAATCCTTCCGACTTCCTCGCAAGTAAAGCATACCGTTAATCGCGCTCGAGCCTCCCAATGTCTTCCCACGCGGACACGAGCATCTTCGCTCCTTCACCCCTAGACACGCATTTTTACACGGCTCGCTGGTGTAACCCCAATCTTGGTCGCTACCAGCCAAACTGGAGAAGGTTGCCGGAATCTGCCAACAGAACACCATGAGCGAGGGAGTTCAGTGGGAGGTGATTACCTCAGTGTTGGCTGACGGATACCCCCCGGCCTCCAAGAGAAGCACCTTCCACTTGGGATTTTCCGATAGTCTACTGGCGACCCTGGACCCTGCCGAACCGCCGCCGACCACGATGAAGTCGAACTGGTCACCGTCTTTCAAGTGGGTCGCGTGGTCTGACGGAAAAAGGTTTGCGGGTGATAATAGACACTGAGAAGTCATAATTGTGTTTATCAGCGTCATAAACATGTGCGAAGGTGGCCCTGTCAGTGACACCGGACACGGACTTGCAAACTCCATCTTGGGGATAACAGTCAAATTAGTTAGTTGGTGCAATCTTACACGGATTGGATAAATACGCGCAGTTGCAAGGGTAGGGGTGGATATATTGAAATGAAAAGAGCGCTTACCATTACATTAAATCCAGGAACAATACAAGCATAAATCAATACAACACTGCAACACTAGCTATATTGAAACAACGATAGCGTATCTCAACAACTGTGACCTCCCAATCACTGTTTATTCCCTGATGTCGCGATTGTGTAATTTACGTTTGACAAATTCCTTCTATTGAAAGCTTCGGCATTACCGAAGACACCAACTTCCGTTTCTCCCGAATCGGCTGTTACACCTTGTCACAATAAACGTGAGAGAGACGTATTGCTATGATCTTCATCAGTTTACATTACATCAATACATAAAGACCGATTAATGGACTTTGGCTAGAAACAATGAACCGTCATGGAAAACTAACCTTCTTACTCAGAAGTAATTGGTTTTTGATATATCGCTCTGCTGATATCCACTCGTTACAATGCTTCTATGAGTGCAGAGACCGAGAAGGTTATTTTGAGTGTATATCTTTTTTAAATTTGTTTGTTGGACACGGTAATTTTTTGAAATTGAAGGGAAAACTTTTGGAAGTTGGATGGAATTTTTTTTTGTCTTTTACATTTTTGGAATTCTGGTGTACACATTTTTCTTAGTGGTTTATCCTCGGTTTTAGTATACACGGTGTCCATTTTTCGAGTGCCACTATGGGGATCTCACTTATCTTAAGAGATAGAAAGTTGGTTAAATGGGGGCAAAGTTGCCAATTTTCGTGCTGAATAAGAATCTGAAAAGAAATTTGAAATATCTTCAATAGTTTTGAAGATTCTGATTTTCGTTTTTAATTTTTTTATGATAAACTAATCGTAGTAGACATTTCTAATTAACACATTATTCGGACAATTTTTAATGGAGATTTCAAATATGGCGTCCTGTTTTTAATAACTTTCAATATAACGGAGAAACACGTAGCAACGTTAGTTTTTCTTATGGGCGCCATTTTGAATTTTCACATTTTGAGATTACGTCTTTTTTTCTCTTTACAACGATATATCACACACATGGTGGTTGTATCATATTTTTCCTAAAAATACAATTTTTAATTTTTTGAGAAGAGTGCTTCTCTGACAATGCTGCAACCAGACAGATGGATCAAACTGTCAAACTTTTGTTTACAACAAAAGAACGTTTTGTTTTTCCAAAGCACACTTCTCAAAAAATTAAAAATTGTAATTTTGGAAAAATGCAGGGAAAAATGTGATACTGAACCACCATGTGTGATATATCGTTGTAAAGAGAGAAAAAGACGTAATCCCAAAATGTCAAAATTCAATATGGCGCCCATAAGAAATACTAAAGTTGCCACGTGTTTCTCCGTCATCTTGAAAGTAATTAAAAACAAGATCCCATATTTGAAATTTCCATTAAAAAGTGTCCGAATAATGTGTCAATTAGAAATGTCTACTACGATTAGTTTATAAAAAAAAATTAAAAACAAAAATCAGAAATTTTCGTTTTTTTGCGATATCTTTTAAACTATTGAAGATATTTCAAATTTCGTTTCAGATTTTTATTCAGCACGGAAATTTGCAACTTTGCCCCAATTTAACCAACTTTCTATCTCTTAAGATAAGTGAGATCCCCATAGTGGCACTCGAAAATTGGACACCGTGTATAGGTTATCATTTAATTACTTGTATTCGGTACCCTTATCTTACGGTAGCGCTGTAGCAACAGGAATGACATTTCAGATTTCTCGTTTACATAACTTTATTACAAACTTCTAACGAGCAGTCTTAAGAATATTTAAAAGTATGCTACACCTACTAAAAATTAAGTTGTTTTTTAGTAAGAAACATAACCTTTCAATTTATTTCATTTTTACATCGAGAACTGTCAGTGAAATAACTAAGCGCAGGCCAAGATTTGAGAACAATGAGCGCAATGTAAATTTCCCTATGGCCCATTTTAAATAACTCAACGCTTTTACACTAGCCAGGTTGCGGACAGCATTTTCCGTTATGTTAGACGGCCATTTTTTCTTATAACATAAGAAATATAAATTTTTGTAGAAATAATTTACGGTATGAGGGCTTTTAGTACGATATATTTATAAATAGCGGAACCAATGAAAATGAAGTTCTTATAATGTGTCACTGCGCAGTACGTAATCACTCATAAATAACATTTTCCTGCTAACCTACAATTGTGCAGTGTTTATGTTGGTGGTAGTTCTTTTCTTTTTGTCTAAGAGCATAGTAGTGAACTTTGGACATTTTAACACAATGTAAAATAAAAGTGAGGTTAATTCTCCTTCAAACTTATAAGCAAAATTGAACACGCCCAGCACACACCGCAACTTAACTTTGCTATAAAAATGTTTTATACTTATAAACTTATATTATAAGGAAAAATGGCCGTCTAACATAACGGAAAATGCTGTCCGCAACCTGGCTTTACATTGTCACAGACCTACGTTTATGCTTATGTTATGATGTATGCTAAGTGTGTACATTCTATGGCCCATCTTTAAAAAAACACCCTGTATAAGTACAAGTATGTTTTGAAGCTTCCAGCTGGTTGTCGATTAAAAATTATAGCAACAAAAGAGCCGGCGATAATTTGCTTCGTGCAATTGACACCTGGCTTGTTGTATGCAGTGTCTTTTAATACTATGCGATCAAAAATGAGTTGCTGTCGAGTGACCTTTGGAACTTTTGTTTACATGGGAAATCGGATTTAACTTGAACTTTCAAAGGCGACTCGACAGCAACTCATTTTTGATCGCCCGTTACTAATGTACCTCCTCATTATTACGGTCTTAGTACACGAAAGTAACTGATGTCGCTCATTAGAGATATCGACAATAAAAATTGCAAAAGTGACTCGACAGCAACTCATTTTTGATCGCATTTTACTTGACGATATATGAGGATCTAAAGAAAACGTTGCAGATGGGCCATAGCGGCCACTCTATTTTGTGTTGGGACAATTTCGACTGTTCCATTTTATAGTAAGCGTTGTCCATAGTTTTGAATGAGTAATAATATTTCTCCAAATGAGGGGAGATAACTAACTAAACCTTTCCCATAGATTCTTTAATAATTTGAAATTATGCATAGACCAAAAATCTATGTCAAAAGAAATTGCAAAGAAAAAAAGATATTTTCTATTTCCTTAAGAACGAGATATGTCACATCTAAGGAGAAAAAAATACGTTGTAAAATATCTCGTACTATGGCGAGGATAAAGTAATCCTAAGTGCTACCATAAGAAACTTGTACAAAAGGAAGTTGTGTGAGTAAAAGTGACAAAAAGTATAAGTCAATAGCTTTGAAAGCAGGCAATGTATTCTCCTTATCTAATACAATCCAATTTCCTCATGTAACAGCTAGGCTTTGTCCTGTGTAATCTGAGTAAGTGGCGAATGGTTCGGAAACTTGGCCACCGAGACCGCTGCCTATAGAACTTAAATGGATATTGGTCGTATATATTAAATGCTGCGCCCATTGCGAGCTTAACGGAATTGCTCGAAAATAAAGTAAAAAGTTATGTCGGTATGTCGTCTTTGTTGGAAAATTGAACATAACGAACTACTAGTCGCTTTTTCTCGCTCGAGTAGATAGGAAGATAATTCCTTTTGATGTCGCCCCAAAACGAAAGGAGACTCGCCGATTCTAGATTTTTATATAAGGAAACGTTCGCTAATTCGAGCAAGATAATTAACAAAAGTAACCATTAAAATTATAATTACAATCTGAAAGCCCATTTAACTAGAGAGTTTGTGTGCTGAAATATCTTCTTCGTAATAACATTTTGCAAATATTACAGCTGTAACTTTAAAGTTTTAATGAAATACTGCTCGTTAAATTAAATAGTTTAAATAAAGGGCTCTCTTATACGTCGAAAGGATTTCAATTATTCGAATTGCTTTCGAATAAAGTTAGACGATTGCGACTGCGGTAAGGTTCTTACTCAGACAATAATCATTGCTATTTTACTAGGCTAGTTAATAGCTAGAACTACTGCCTGTACCTCTTCTGTGTTTCCGGAAGAGGAACATACGAACGGCCACAACAGTGCCGAAGCACCAGTTTCAACCCCGAAAATTCACATATTTTCCAAAAGCACACAGAGAAATCTCGCACGAGTCTAGATGAATCATCAAATATCCGCTTTGATTTAGGGGATTGGTGAGTTGTCATAACTTCTTGGGCCACTATCGAATGCGACAATACTAAACGTAAAAAATTAAATTAAATGCCATTGCCAGCTTTGGCAATTATAATAGTATCAGCAACCACAAATTAATAACTGTGAAGCTAGCAAGAGAAACTTTATTAGAATTCGGTTGGAAAGTGACGATTTAATTTGACGATAATTAGACGTAACGACCCAAGTTCGATCCAGAAATGCAATCTGATTTAGTGTGCGAAATTAGGGATTGCAATTTGCGAACATAGCTGTTCACATTTCAATAGTTTCGCCATTAAATCGGTAGGAATTGCAGTCGTTACCCGATGCGCGCATTACTGCATTAGCGAGCGCTGCGAAATCATCGACCACATTATCAGAAATGACCGATCGTTCGGTTAACTCTTCGGTTAGATCAATCCCGGATTAACTTAATCCGATCCTGTACACTATAGTTTCGTTCTCTATTCCGCGCCATTGTGTACACTCGGCGGGCTTACAACTTTGGCGATCTAGAATAACAGCCGGTTTGAGGATAACATGGAGGATTCTAGTTTCCAAAGCCGACGTCGAAGCCGTTAGTTAACGTTTCAATTATTTCGGTGCGTATTTAGTTTCTTTGAACCTTTTTTTTTGTTGTAAAATTACCTCCGGTGTTGGATTTCCTTTACGGGAAAATACGATTATACAAAGTGATCGTGAAAAGTTTTTCTCCGGGCTTCGTCCGTTCTTTGTACTAATTACTTTTACGGAAAACCCTTCGCCAATTCCCTCTTTCGCAACAGTAGACGGCTTCATACGAAACGAAATTGTCCCTTTCCTACTTCTTTTCAAATGTTAATCCTTTTTAAGAAATCTTGTTAGGTTTTATGAAGTCGTTTCTCGCTATACTGCTATTACTGCTGAAATTAACGAATAGCACCATCTGTCGAAGAAATTTTCAACGACACGATTAGAGTGTGCCGAATCCAATTTTCTAAAATTCAGATGCGGTTAACAAATGATTCTTGTGAACCGCCCTGTATTATTCAAGTAAATTACAAAATGGAAAAACATATGGCCAATATACAGTGCATTGTAGTTAAAACGAGGCGAACGAGCCACCCTGAATAAATCAGTTGATATTGAGATTATAAAAAATGGGGGTTTACAGTATAGTTGAATTCCGCAGTTC